GAGCTGGGCAAACACAGAGTAGGTGAGAGGCACTTTCGTCGTCTTTCTCACAGCTGGGAACATCTCTTATAGAGAAAAATGAACTTATAAGAAACAGAAAGTGTATCAATTTCCAAATAAAAATAGAAACTAAAAAACATTAAAGTTGGAATCTTTATTTTTATATTGAAAAACTTGTCAACATTAATATTCAGGATGTCCATATCAAAACAAACTTATTCGGCATTACTAAACAAGTATAAATAGTAATATGGTTTAAGGCTGTTCAACGCCGAGCACCATAATATTTGCAAAAGTCACGTGCAGCTCTAATGTCGCTTAGGAGCGTATGCTAGGAGGGTGTGATTAGGTACGTAGTTCTTTCTCTGGAACGCGAAAATTGTTAAAACTATGCACATAATTGGAAGGAACTAAAATAGGTAAATAAATGCGTTTTTCGAGAATAAGTATGAGTATTTCCCCCTTGTAAAGTTAGAAAAAGAAGTAATGCACAAGAAGTCAACATTACAAATGAGAGCTATTAGTAAGTAAATCTCTTTTTTTGGGGTTTCTTTTGATTTAAATGGAATAACATTTGTGTACGGAAAAGGGGATTTGTTAGGATATGTTTTAACATTCAAAATGTCAATACAAAGTTCAGAAATTTTTAAGCATACCATATTTTTAAGTATTACTATTTTGTTTAATACAAATGCAAAAACTATGAACAAAAAAAAACATTTTTGCAAAAACAACGTTGTTGCTTTGCTAGGATATCGTGCGTATACAAAATTCATAGTGAGAAATGGTGAATTATTCGAATGTCCATTTAGTAATAGAATCATTGTCAATTAATTACTTTATTAAGTGATATTGGGAAATTTTAATTAGTATCTTGTAGGTATAAAATCACTGTTGTAGAATGTTTTGTTCCAGGCATCATACAAGTAAAAACATGACCCTAAAATTAAATTTTCGTATCAATCAACTCATGTTGTTAGAATGCACGTTGTGTAAGAGTTTACAGGGTGCTTCCCGAGAACGTTTAGTAAATTGCGGATATCTTGGTCCAAAGCTTAATATTTACTGAGACAAAGAAAAAATCTGAGTAAAAAAACTCCTAACATCTCCAGAACGGGTCATCTAAATAGCTTAAGTTGTAACTTATTCTTAACCCATTACACACCCTTTATTTTATTATCTCCTACCAGTAGTGACGTTTGAAGTATTATAATGAATGCATACTTTTAATCTGTATAACAAATTAGGACACCAATGAATGTTCGATTTATATAAGGTGGACTCCTATTAATACAGAAGACGAGGACTCTTCGTGATATTACAGAGAACTTTTAAAGAAACACAGCTAAGTGAGGCAAAGACAGATTGAAAATTTCTGATGGGTGATTAAATAAGCGGCTCTTGGCTAGTGCCGGGCAGTGACAAAGCAGATAAACATCATTCTCATTGAACAGCTATAAGTGATCAATATCAATCAGTTGTTTATGAGACTGCTGGTAAACAAAACGCAGTTGTGATTTCCATTAAATTTTTGATTCAATATATTTTTTGGACGTTGCTTTTAAATGATATATACAACATCCTCTAAATGTGGTCCTTGAAACATCTTACAGTACTACAATCATTTCAGATATTTGGGACATTTTTTTAGTGAATAGCTTAGCCATAACTGGACGCATGTTCATTTTTAAAACGTAAAAAGTTTGTCCACATAGACATGATCCTTTGTGTAATTCCACATTATAATCCAATGGTAATAAATCGCATCATTTTAATGGTTAATTCAGATCATCAAAACATGAAGTCATATGACTGCAAAAGTTCTCGCACCACAAAGTCAAAACGAGTCGTATTGTAGGACTTACTGGGCCATTTTATTACAATCACTTATCTGACACATTCCCATATCGCTATAACTATTTGAGTTATTAGTTTGTCTAACATCTTCATCATTTTTAAAAAAATACAGTCCTCCCAGGTTACTAAACAGTGAGTTATTGTGGTTATAATAGTCTTTCGGATTTTTAGTGCCTTTGAGGTAGGAATTTTGTTTATCAAACAAATACTGTTGGGGTACTTTTAGAAGTCCTTCTGGACTACGTACGAATAACGTTTATTCGTGGTATCACAACGGGGCAATACTTGTCCTTAAGTAGGCTTTGGAGAACAAGGCTGCCACTCCAACTTCACCTAAACTTTTTACGTTACTAAAAATGAACACCAGCAATGAGGAAATTTCCAAGTGAAAAATCTTAACATGTTACAATTTTAACATGCTCAGCGATTGTTAAACAATCTACATGTAAAATGGCAAACCAAAACTGTGTGTAAGTTTATCATAGATCGGTCAAATTCTTCATTAAAATTTCTGAAATTTCAATTAAGCATATTGCAAAAATTATTTAATCGCATTTGGTCTGAACTTTTGGGCTAATGAATAGTGTATAACATTGTAAACCATTCACAATGTGATGTAACGTGGCGTTTTAACTAGACGTCTGATGAGTCGAAACCCCAAAAATTTCGTTTGATGAAGTCAAGAGGACATTGTTCATTTTGCAGGTCCGACTATTGCGCCAATGCAGCCGACTTAATCGGATTCGACAAGAATACCGCGTCGATATTGGTTTTTATTATATGAATCGATTTTTAATAGATTTTTTTTTCAAGTATTACCTTTCAACTGTTAATTTCTTGCCTTATTGATTTAATTTGGTATTATGCAACTTATCAATTTTCAGAAAAAAGGAAGTTCCATATGAAAAAAATTTCTTTACTCTTTATTATATAATGCAGCTTTTAACTTTACAAAAAAATACATTCCCTATGAAAATCGTGGTGAAGGAATTTGGCGTTCTATTATTCATCTTAGGGTTCGATAGTTTGAACCAATGTTTGTAGTACGTATCGCATTTTAACTGTCAACTATTCCTTGTGTGCATCGAATTTAGTGCACTGCAACTTTTAACTTTTCAAAGAACTGCATTTTCCAGTGAAGAGAAAATGTTTTCCTGAGGTAAAGGTTATTTAAAATGTTTGTACCGACATCCTGAAAGTTAACCCGTCCAACGATCAATCGGCATTCTACGTGATCATTGAAAATTGCTGTATTGAGTCAAAAGGGGATTGTTTCGAATAAAATAAAACTCATTTTACATAAAAAGTCTGGTCTATTTTGGAACTTATCTTGTAATTTAAAAATTTGTAATTTTTTTAATTAAAACAGCATCCTTTTTTTTTGTTTTTTCTCTATATTTTGGCAATGGTACTCACCACATTAAAATAGGTCGGAGTGGATGTAGTAAAACCAGTTTGTTGTGATTTCGAATACTATCATTTCTTACACACTAATATGATTAGGTATGCTCACTGTTTAGAGTAATTGATTGTTTTTTATTCTGTATTACCGCTCTGTCCCATTGGAGGGTGAGTGCGATTATTTATCCATTATTTTCATGATTATGTGTAATAAAAAGTTGAAATTTAACTCTTTCTGGTTTTTTTATCGATCTATTTTTAGACAGAAAAGTGGTTGGAAGCTGTATTATATTTTCATTTTTGTAAAATGTTTTTTTATATATTTTTTTGTAATTTTTTTTTTGTGTTTTGAAAAATATTTTCATATTTTTTTTTTAAATATTTTAAATTTTTTTTTAAAATATTTTAAATTTTTTTAAAAATATTTCAAATTTTAAGGTAGGAGTGTTTAGCAATCCAGTTCCTTACACTTTGTTAACTTTAAAATTAATTGTAATGTTAAATAAATAAATAAATATTTTAATTTTTTTTTTGTAACAAATCTGTAGTTTTATATTTCAATTAAAAAAAAAGGATATGATATATTTATTAAATTATTATTATAATTTTTATAATTTCAAATATATTTATATTTAATATATTTATATTTAAAAATAGTTATAACTTTATATAGCTATCTATATACCACTGAACTCTTTAACTTAAGAGTGTTGCCAACTGCAAAACTATTTTTTTCATGGTGCAATGTTGCCACAAGGTGTATCATTTTTTTTAAATTCAAAATTAGTCGTAATTTTTTCTTTCATAGCAAAAAAAAATAACATTAACTCTGATTGAAAGAAATTGGCAGCATTTTTGAAATATGTTGAATGTTGTGTCGGATATGATATAATACGAGCGACTAAAGTTTGAAACATTTTTTTAGTGAACATTCACAATAGACTGATTTTTGAATTTGACCGCATTAAAACTTTAGTCTTAAGTTTTTTTGCGAGTAAAACTTAACTCTGAGGATTTTAAGAGCATTTTTGTTGCTTCACATGTTTTCTTTCGTAAGTTGCGAGTATTTTTTTGCTACTCTGAAAGAAAAAATTACGGCAATTGTTTGTTTGGTTGGTTAACTTAACAAAGCCGTATTAGAATACTAGTGATCATGGTTCCAAGAACAGCCTGGTTTATGTCCTGTAGTCACTCGTTTAGTTCAACAACACAAACAGATCCTTGTACTCTACAACAACAACAGAATACTAATTCCATGTAAAAGTTTCATACATACTTACGTAGAAATTTATTTCCATTATTTTGTTTATAACATCAGAATATGTATGTATATTGGAGTAAAATAAAAACTGAAATCCGATACGGAATTATTTAAACATAAACCCAAAAATGTCCTTACAAAAGCCAGCCAACTTCGTTATGGTTTTTTCACACAATGATTAAGAGAACCTTCACTTCAAGCGGATATCATCAGTGAGTGAGCTTAAATATTCAGGCTTACTTACAACATAAATTACGATGGATTCGATTTGTGGCAAAGGGAAGGTACGGCGGAATAATATTTCCACCCCTAACACAACGACGTCGTACCCGTGACAACTCTTCCAGCTAACACCAACCCGCAAAATTCATCTATTTTCATAGAAAATTCAAACAAAATATTTTTTTCTCTTCAATTATTTTTATTTAAAAAAATTATTTATATAAAATAGGTATTTTACATATATATTTATATTTGTATGAGTGTGTATGTATGTGTCGACTTATTAAGCTTGGGTTTTTGTATATACGATTTACACAGTTACTAACTTATTTACTTCTTACTTAAGCAGTATTTATTATTCATATGTACATTATTTATTGTTTCTATATTTATTTATTTACATTAAAAATGTTAAAGCAAACACACAAATGAGCAGAAATGAAATGAATTCTAATTCTATTCGAATACTATTCGCTGAAAATCCTACAAAATATAAACAACAAAAATAACAATTAAAAAAATAACAGAACAGGTTAGCCAGTTAACTCAGCTAATTTACATTCGATCGTAATCGTAATCGTGATTGTGTCTTCGCGATTGCGATCGCGATCATGATCGTGTTTGCTGTATCTTAATTATCTTTATACTCGAATTCTTTTATTTTCTTCATACTTAGGCACTAGCGTTAAATTATAAAAATAAGAAGTTCTATTTAAATAAAATAAACTTATAATAAAATAAACCTAATTAATAATTAATAAACTTAACAAAAGTTGATGTGTGGTGGGGTGTGCTAATATTAAATACTTAGTAAGGAATATGTATGTCTTTCTAAAATGGAATTAAATTCCGTGAGCGTAGCTTACTTTACTTCGCTTTCCTACTTCCCTCCTGGCCCTCCTGTCCTATATTTTCCTTTCTTCACTCATTCATTCAGTTCTCCTCTCTCATTCTTTTTTACTTTGCTTTGGAAATTGAAGCAGTAGTGTTTGTTGTTGTAGTTGCCGATGTCGTTTTGCCTTTTGAAGCAGCAGCAGCAGCTGTGTTATTTGGTGTTGACATTGCCTTTGGACTAGATGATAATGATGACGTTAATAATGATGTTGCAGTAGATGTTAATGAATTCGAGTTTGAGTTCGAATTCGGGTTCGAATTCTTTTGACTGTTTTCGTTTGTGCGTTGTGGTGTGGTTTCTGTTTTCTCCACGTTGTTCTTCAGTTTTTGCATGTATTCGTTAAATGCGTCAGTGCGTTGCATGCGCGACAATTGATCCATGATAAAGGCTTGCTGGTACAAAGCCGGTGGAAATTGGCCCATTTGACCCAATGCAGCCGCATTGGCGTAGGAGTAGAACATGTTGGATTGAGTGGCGGCTGCTGCTGCCTGTACTTGCGCCCGCAATATATTATCTTTAATGAACTTGGACAATTCGTTTGGGTTGGTTGCATTACCTGGCGTATTTGCTGCTGCCGCTGCAGTGGCTACGCCGAGATGTGGTGGCATGCCGGCGGCCATTGTTGGCATGGGCAATGGCAGGTTTGGTATTGCACCTATACCTGGGTGTGGTGGTACAAGTTTATTAATTGCATTAGTTGGCGGTTGAAGTGGTGACTGTGCTGCAGTTTTTGTAGCTTTTGGTATTGTATTTTTTGCACTCGGAGATTTTGTTGGTGAAGATATTTTTAGTGGCATTGTATTATTAGGTGAGCTTAGTGGAGGAGTCGTTGTTTTGTTCACTTGTGTTTGTGATTTTGTAAGGTGTTGGTGGTTCAGTTGTTGATTTATATGTTGCTGCTGTTGTTGACCACCTGGTGATTTTTTTGTAGGCAGCACTTTTTTATTGGCGTGTATTTTGACGGCTATACCACTGGGCGATGAGTAAGTACCAATTACATTCGCAGTGGTTACTTTTGGTGGTATGACTTCTGATAGTGGCAGCGGATTTTGACGTGGCAATATCGGACGGAACTTTTTACTTGATTGTACTGCAGGGTCATTTGGTGACTTTGGAGATTTTTCATGTGATGGTGAAACATCAGTACTGTTTGATTGAGATTGCTGTTTCTTCTCGGGGCTGGGCGTCTTTTTATCGAGCTGAAGTGGTGGTATATGTGTTGGTTTTTGATTTTGTGTTTTGGTAGTATTGGACGACGTATTCAATTTAGGCTGATTATTATCACTTGTCTTAGTCCCATTGACGTTTGGTAGCGGAGTGGTCATTTTGTTAGAGATACTGGAATTGTACATGTTCAAATTGCCTTTTTGATATGCACCGCCCATATGCATTTGAGCGTGAGATGAATTTTTATTAAAACTTGTATTCAACTTGGCTGAGTTGAACATTTGGGCTATTGATGTAGGTACATGGATGTCCGAGTTATTCATAGTGGGATTTATTTTAGGAATTGGTGGCGATAAGCGTTTATTAATATCGCTATTGTCTGCCGGTTGATCAGGCAGTTTGAGGATTTCGATATAGTTGTTAACTGGATTCTTATGTTTTGGATATGATGCGTTATTTGATGGTGATTCAGAATCTTCTCTTGTAATAGTTATTGATAGAGAAGACGGTATATTTATATTACAAGAGTTCAGTAGTGATTTAACCTTTAATTGCTTCTCGGGCGGGTCTTCAATTGGGCTAGGACTTTTTGCAAATGGATAAGCTCTTTTTAGCGGCTGCACATCATTTTTGGCTTTTGATTGTATAGGGTGGGCTGAAGAATTGTCTTTCTTAGTTGGTGGTATTGGAAACAAGTTAGCCATTTGGTTATTGTTTCCTAGTATGTTTTGTAAGTAGTTTGTTGCATTGGAAGGCTTGGGTGTGTACTTATACGTAGGCACAGTGGGAATGTTGTAATTCGGCACATATTGTGGTGAGCTTGGTGAGTAAATCGGTGAATTAGGTGTGTACATGGGAGTACGGCAACCAGGTGGTACTTCATTACCTTTTGATTTTGAAGCATTAAAAAGCGCTAAGTTTAAATAGTTGTTTGAGTTATTAGGTTTTGCATTGGAGTTGTTCTGTTTGTTAGACTTTTGTGCGTGTGGGGTTCGATTAGTGATTGTTTGATTTGCATTGTTTTGTAGGTTTGGCAATGGTGGTGGACCCATTGTTGTTTGATCGGGTTTAGGACCATATACTTTTGGCAAGACATCATTGACAACTGATTTTATTTCAGTACCTGCTTCTTTGAGTATTTTATTAACTTCATTTGGAATGTTTGCAAATGGATTTGGACGTGCAGCTTTCGGCAATATTGGTTGATACCGTTTGGCTATAGGTGTGCGGTTACCCGGTGGCGCAGGTTGTATACCCTGCCTATGGTTTGGAGTCATTGAAGCAGAACCTAGAGATTTATTCATACTCTTAGCGGATTTTTTGGGCAAACTATGTGGTGGACGCATAATTTGCGAAGCTGCAGATTGGGCAGCTAACTTATCATTGCTGGAAATGCCATTTGGTATGGATGATTTTAAAGCAGCCGGTGGTGCTGGAGTTTTAAATACATCATTGTTATTATTGTTGACTGGTAAAGGTGGCAGTTTAATTTTAAAATCATCGTTTGGTAATGGGGGAGATAGTTTTGATTTCTTTGCTATTGCTTTGACTGGTTCCTTACTTTTGCGTTTTGAAGCTGATGAACATTTTAGCATTTCGACTCCATTTACTTTATTTAACGTACCATTTAATGCAGTTGTTATTGAGGTTTTTAGTTTATCCATACAGTTTGTGGTAGGAGTGGACGATTGCTTTGTATCCTTTTTCATATTAATGGATTTAGTTGGTGTCAAAGAAAATGACTTCAGAAACTGTGATTTCTGATCTTCTTCTAAACTTGGTATAGGACTTGGATGTTCTAATATCCTGCTCTGTTTTTGAGTATTAGGGCTTACTTTTGTTGTTGGACTTATGCGTTCCGCTTTAATAGTCAAGGGTGGAACGGTCAATGGACTAGGTGTTTTATGTTTACGCTCACTATGAGGAGATGATTTTGAGTTGCCATCTTTGTCTTTTTTATGTTTAACTTTCCATTCTTTTTCTGGTTTAACAGATTTTGTAGTGATTTCTTTCCGTTCTGGATGTGACATATTGATTATCGTTACACTATTCTGTTTTGATAGATCAATTTTAAGTTTAATATTTTCAACTTTACGCTCCGGTTTATTTACAGCTGTTGAGCTGTCATTCTCTTTCTTTTCTTTCTCTTTTGAGTGCTTCTCCTTCGTATGTGTTTGGGATTTTGGAGATTTCGGTGATTTGGGAGATTTCGGTGATTTAGGCACTACAGGTAATTGCTTCTCTTTTACAGATTTACTGACTAATGTAATCTTTAATTTATCGACACTAGGATTGTGATCAGATTTATTGTTAATGTTATTGGCAGTATTCAATTGAGGAACTATTTCAAAGTGCTTTTTTTCGACTGATTTTGGTCTTTTATCATTTGCTTCAACATCGTCTTCAACTTTTATTTCGGTTGATTCCACAATCGTATTTGATGGTGCATGTACAACAGTCATAACATTATCAGTGTGAAATGCAACATCCGTAGTTTCTAATTTGGGCTCGACAATGCATACCTTCTTGGATTTTGTAATTTTTTTAAGTGATTGTTTTACACGGAAAAAGAATTTCATCGGAGCATCTCGTTTCCATGTGTAAATATAAGCAACATCGATCAGTGTGTAGTGGTCTAATAAAACTATAGTTTTTACTTTATACATGATATCTATGCTGAATCTGTTTGGATCTATTTCGAATTTTCCATGGACAAACTTTTTCAAATGACTAACAGTAAACATAGCAGGACATTGTATGAATCGGGGCTTCAGCAGTTCATTATATGTAGCACTGGTGTCTACCAACTCTCTGTAATGAAACAACAGAAAAAAGTTGGTATTCGTAAATTTATTGTTTTACTTTTAAATTATTGTATTTAAAAAAAAAAGTTACATGGTTTTGAAAAACTATATAAAAATTTTTAAAAATGTTTACTTACTCTCTATCAGCATATTCCAATGACAGAGACATGCTATCAGATGGATTAAAAATTAAATGTTCTATATCATCGCCTCTTTGTTCCGGCGTAGCAAGTGCAGCATCCTCTGGACGATTCTTATAAAAAGCTCGCTTACGAAGTAGTTCCTTCTCATATAAACCCGGCACCAATTTATAGACTATAGCTTGAAGAGTAGTATCAGGTCTAAAAATGTAAAATACAAATTAAATAATTAATTACAATATGAATATAAACAGTAAAAAGAAGGAGAATAGTATAAAAAAATGAACAATTTATCAAAGTCAAAGTGCTGGGTAACTGCACCAAAACATCTAAAAACAAGACATGAGCACAAATTTTTACAAAACCTTCTATATTAACACTTTTAATACCTCACACCCTCTCCTTTCCTCTGTACCATGCCCTTCCCTTGCTTTCTGGCTTAGCTTACATTTCTGGGCAGTAATGCTTTTTATCTTAACTTTCTTTATATTTAACTTTCCGAAAGATAGTGTACTATCGATGCTTTCATTCTTTTGTTAAAAAACAAGAATTTCAATATGAATAAGGAAAACTGAGAAAGCGAATCCATAAAAAAACAAAAACACGAAAGTGCTACTTAACAGCAGTAAATAAAGAAAATAATTGCACAAACAATTTCTACGGAAAACGTCTCTGTAAACATTTCCAATGTTAGAAAAAAACCATTTTCAATTAATTCCTTTCAAGGGAAAGGAAATTAATCGAAGAGTTGTATAATCATAGTATCAGTTTAGGTTACAGAAAGTAACCCAAAAATTCATTTTTCACCCTTCCATAAATAGAAAATTTTTTTGTTTTTTTTTTTTGTTATTTTTCATGAAACAGAATAAAAAAAACAAAACAAAGAAAAATATAAATATACACATAATAAAAAATAAATATCTATTCAACGTCCCTCTCTCTCTCCCTTGTCATTTAGTGCATATAAAAAATTATTAAAATGTTTAACGCATATTTTTTTAATTTATCAGCGCTGGTCTTCACGTATTGCTGATATTAGAATTAGTTTATTAACCACTGATAAAAACAAATGTGTTGTGTATTATCTACGTATATATTTGTTATATGTTGATTAGGATGACACACACAGATTCATATACGCAGCAGTACATTCACATCACACTAAACGAAAATCTATGCACGTAAAATTATAATTTTTTCTTGTCTTTTCTTTTTAAGCGCGCTAACGAGCAGGCAAATAACAACAAACACAACAACAAGACGAAGCAAGAGGAAAATAAGCAGATGCATATGCACAAAGCGGAGACGCACGCATTCAGTAAGTACGCAGTGGCAGTGGCAGTGGCTGTGTTTCTTAATGGCAGAGTAGGGGCAATAACACTAACAACGAATGAGGCACATAAATACGTAAAGGTAAGTTACGAATACGATATAAGAAATTATTTAACGTGAATATGTTTTTTTTTTGTTTTTATTATTTATATAAATACTAAGTTTTTGGATCTGTTTTGTGTTGTCAGAGAATTATATTCAGTCAGTCATTCCATCCATCCTGCACTCATTCATTCATTCATTTGTTCATTATTTCTTTCAACATAAGCAAATTTTGCTTATGTTACATGTTACGCCGTCGTTGATGGGTTTTCATTTTCGTTTAATAAGTTTCGTACCAACCAACCATCCGCTGCTATGTGCATGAACGGATGGTTGGTCAAATGAATGAATGGCTGTGCTGCGCTTGTGTGCTGAAGTTATTTTATTTTCGTTGTCTTCTCTTAATATGCTATATATGCTTTTTTCTTCTTCTTGATTATGCTTGAAAGTGACATGTTGTTGTTTTTGTAGTTGTTGTTGTGGATTTTGTTGTTTTTATTACTTGTGCATTTTGGTTATTATCGTCAAGTTAGTTGTGTTGTGTTGTGTTGTGTTGTCATTATAAAACATCTTATTTGTTGTTATTGCTTTTCGCTGTTGGTCGTGAAGAAACAAAAGTTGTTAATTCAGCTGTGTGCGAGCGAATGCCGTCGGCAAATTGTAGACCCGCCCGTTAATTATTTATATTAGATTTCGTTTTAATTTTCTTCGAATGTTTTGTATTACACATACATCGAACTTAATACATATGTATATACGCAATATGCAAGCATTTTTCTTGCATACATACATATGTATGTATGTCAGGCATTATTTTTTTTCTTAATGGAATATATTTATAAAAAAAAAAGAAGAAAATGTTGCGGAATTTTTAATGAGCGTGCATGCGCTGAAGTCAAAAATATTTCTAATCAATCCAATAAACCATGAAGTAAAAGTAAATGTATTCCTTGCTATTCCTTTGAGTTTTGTTAACAAGAGTAATGGATTCGTTTCGCACTAAGCACTTACTTTTTCTTTGAAGTTAACATTTTGCTGCTTCGCGCTTTGCGAAAGGGTGGCATGGGCATGGGGGTGCCATTAATGTGTGAAATATCACTTATCAACAATCCACCCTGCAAAAACAGACACGACCCTTTTGTCAAAAACATTTTTCTACACAATGTGTGGACGGACTCTACTATAATTTGGGTGTCAGGTTTGTGCAGTTTTAATTAAATAAGGTTTTGTACTCGGAATGCATTATTTATTGCGACAACTTAGTGGAACACATCAGCTTAAAGATCCATATCTATCAGTCCACCATAAAAACAAATCTTATTAGAAGTTAGAAATGCTTTAACCTACTATAGGTACAGAAGTCTTGATATATGTAATATATATTTTTCTTTAATTTTTTAAATAAATTATATAAAACTACATAAACTATATACTTCTTAAACTATAGACGCCTTGTGCGAGTTCGAGTAAATTGAGGGAAATGGTAAATTATGTCGGTATGGCAGCGAATGTTGATATTTACCAGAATTTCAAGTAGGCTGAATTATATAAAAATTAGGTATTACCATTGTCAAAATTTTATAAGATGTTTAATAAATAAATAAATAAATTTGAAAACTTTTAACGAAAAATAATAAATAAGTGCAATAAATAAATATTTACATAAATGCAGTGCAAAAAATTCCTAGGAAATTTCAATTTACTTCACGACAATTTATTCGAACTCGCACACGGCCATAGTTAGTTTAACTTTAAAGAAATTCAAATTACTAAACCGCAATATCTCTTAACTTCTTCACATAATATAAAACGTGTTTTAGTGCGTTAAAGAGGGATGAGATAATTTCATTTACAGCAAATTAAAATGTTCATACTATTTTTAAATACTTCATCATCTACAGTCCAACAAAAACTCAGACCAGTTGGTACACACTATGTTTTCAAACCGTTTTTAACTATGGCTGGTTTCATCAAACACCTAAACACTCGCTCGTTACATACATTTCTTTCAGTCATCTTCATTTCTTTCTAATTCTAATTATTATCTCCACCAGTGTTCACAAATCGATTTTAACTATGTCTGGGTCCAACAAACACCTCAACCTGTTATTTAAATTTTCTTCAAGCACCTTTATTTCTATCTGTCACTTTCTAATTATATACCCGCAATGTTCACAAATCATTTTTAACTACGTTTAGGTCCATCAAAGACCTCACCTTCGGTATAAATTTCCTTCACTCACATTTTTTCCTTTCCGCTGCTTTGTAAACTTGTACCCGCGGTTATATTCATAAATCATTTTTTTAGTCGATCCATTTCTTTCTTATTGGTCGATATGTTTCTCATGTTTTCAAGATTTTATATTTGAGAATTTTTTTTTGCGATAATTGGAAAGCATCAAAAGTCGCTGTGTAAGACTTGAATCCACTAAAACCACCTCTTAGAAAAGTTTATTATCATCTGGTTTACTATTATAGGAATTTTATTTTTATACCTCCAATCAATGTAATTTCTTGTTTTAACTAGTAACTAAAATCGGTTTATAGCCATATAAACCGAACACCTAAAGATGACTTGTTATTGTTGTTTTTCTTGCAGTGAACTTTAATAAGTTCTGGAAATAAATATGGAGAAAGCACAAAGCTCGTTCAAGCCACTATGCCACGGAGAACTAGAACTTATTGGTACGGATTGATATGGAGTTTCAGAAAGGAAACAATCAATAGTCTAATGTGCATTGAACCTCATAATTTATATAACAATAAATTTTAATAGGCATTTCCTGATCAAAATTTAATTTGTTGTGAATGAAGTTATACCAAGTTTTGATCAAAATCCAGGTTTACAGTAAATATATATTTCCACATTTATACTAATACTTTTTATGTACTTGCATTCTGTTAAAAAACATTATTATATATATGTATGTACGTAGTATATCTGATATTAAATTTCTACTTTAATAATGTAGAAGCACCCTTAGTGAGTTGAATTTAATTTCTGGTGGAATACTGAAATTGTTCACTAAATGGGAAGAGCGTTTAACTGATGAAAGAAAGTTTCGAGACGTAAAAAATGTTTACGAAAGCAATGTTAGAAATAAAAAAAAAATAAAATAAAACAAGAAAATCAAAATATGTTTCATTTAATGTTTCACAGAAAAAAAGGAAAAAGAAATAAAAATACAACCGGATATTGTAAAAGTTGGTTTACCACCATAACAAAACCTTTTTTTATTTTCGAGATGTCAAATATTATCAGCGAATGGGCACCTACACATTTATAGGCCCACGTTTTTACTGAAAGTACTTCACATACTACTTTGAAATAAAACAAAAAAAAAAGTTGAGGCACAAAGTTTTACTTCAGGCACAGAGAAAGGGCATCAAATCAACACTTAACCTTGTAAGGCATTATATTTTTTTCGGATTAAATCTCATGATTTCAAACAATGTTTCACTTAACTTTATATATTAAGAGCATACACATACATAACATATATATAGGTACTTATATTATATATAAATTTTATATGATTTAACGCACTTTAGTATACAATTTAAAAAATATTTTAAATTTATTTTTTAAGTAAAAAGTATTTCTTTAAGTCCAAAAATCAATGCAGGAAAGATTTCTGCTCTGGACTCTGAAGTGTAAAAATATGGAAAAAATAAATTTCTAAGCTTAATTTTTATTAATATTTACCATTTAACTCTCAGATAGTGATACATTAGATCCGTTTCCTAACAATAGCAGGAGACGAGCAGATAAAATTGGTAGATATTTCATTCTATATTTCACATAATCTGCAGGTTTCTACGTTCTTTAATGATCTCATATCTAAAAAGTAGTAGTTAATAGGGGCGTATCTAGTTAAGAAAGAAATTACGATATCCTGTGCTGTGTGAATAAATTATTACATGAATAGTTTAAACATTTAAATAAGTACTCAATTCTTATATAAAACATAATATAGAATGAAATATCCACCAATCTTATCTGCTCGTTTCCTGCTATTGTTAGGAAGCGGATATGATGTATCACTATCTGACTTTTCTTGAACTGAAGAATAACGTCTGAAGTCGTGATCAGAAAGCTACAATAGAGTTAAATGATAACAATAAAAATAGCTAATGCATATATTAATAACATGAAAAGCTGTCGAAGGCTCATGTAAAATAGAAGACTTTAAAGTATATATGCTCGCAAACAGCACTTTTTTCGAAGATAAATTATGCTACGTTATTCATTTCACAAAAAAAATATTATAAACTAAATTAATTTATATTTAAATTATTTAAAATAAAAAATTTATTGTAATTATTATTATTGCAGAAATATTTATAAAATTCAGAGAAAATATAAAAAAATTTAAAGAATTAAAAAAAATTAATAAATTAGAAAAACATCAAATTAATGACACAAATTGTGTATTTTATAATAAATAAAGTTAAAAGAACTTTTGGTGTTAAATACTTGGTGTTTGGATAAAATACTTCACATATCACCCATGAAATATACAAATTATCTTAAAATATCTTAGATTTGCCTAAAATCTTCTTGTGATATATATAAATATATATACATATTTATTTATTTTTTTTAATTTTGTAAAAAATTTAGCTGGCAATAAATTTCTTAGGTTGCCGCCAAACTCTAACGCCAGTAAAATCACATCCGTAGAACGGTTAAAGAGGGAAAGGAATAAAACTCGATTAAACGGAATGAGAACAAAAATTCAGAATGAGACACGATCTGACTGCCATTAAAATTGGCGGCAGCTTTATCTTTTTCGTTGTTTTTTTTTTCTGTTAACTTTTATATTAGGAAGAATATTTGAACTACCGGTTTACTTTGATATATTAAAACCATTATTCTTCATGGCGTTTTTTATGCGAAAAAATTTTTTATGAATATTTAAACCAATGAATTTTTTTTTAAAACAGCGATTTTTTGACTGTTAAAAACACATATACATAAGTTAAAGTATTTAATTTTTTTTTTTTCAAAAGGTTATACTTCTTATATTATGAATGAGAATATTGAATATACATAATATACACCATAAACATTAGATTAATGTTGAAAACTTATATCGTGTCTTTGCAAGATCTTTGGCCCCTTACGACTTGGCGACAACTACTACCTCCGATTGAACCACAAGCTGTACGAGCGAGCTTCACTGGTTTGTTCATGTATTGAAAATGGATGAAAATATTCTAGCGAAAAAGGTATTTGAAACAATAGTGAGAGAAAAAAATCGTAAAGCTAGATCGCGTCTTCGGTGATCAAATTGAGAAAGCACTAACTGCACTTGATATACGGGACTGGAGAAGGCAGGTTTGCAGCAGTGGCGCCTGGTAAGACATGATGCGTCAGGTTGAAACCCAGTAACGGAATGTTTTGGTTATTTAAGTAATTAAGTTTTGCTTTCATCATTTTTTCAACAGCATCAAATCATGAGTAAAATTTTAATCCACTAAATGCAGTTAATTGTTATAAATATAATAAATATACTTTTAATCTTTAATTTTACTCAAGTGTGGCATGAGACATTGATCAATTGCAATTATTGTACTTTATGTATACCAGCACGGACAAAGATATTATTATTTGTATTAATTGGAGTAGGAAAATAGTGAATAAATAACCAAATAATCTACATAAAAGATAGCCAAAGATAAATCAATGTTTAAGAAAAAATGTAACAAGTGCTTTAACTGTTTGTGAAAAGTCCGGTTCTTAGATTTTAAGAATTATAACATATAGAAAGTATACATATTCAAACGTTCAATGTTAGTAAAAAAATATATTTGGTTTCAAGTTAAAGCAGATTTGGTATCAACAAACATTTAGGAAAGAATAAATATTATATGAAAAAGAAGCAATGCATTGAAGCCACCTGTTAGTTAGGAAAGCAAAATGGACAAATTTCAGTCATTTGACCCTAAAAGTTAAAACCTGAAACTCCATTCCAGCAAAATGCACAAATTTCAGTCGTAGTATCGTAAAGGTTAAAAGCTGAAATCAAGGGAAAGACAAGTAATCAAGGGAAAGACATACATTAGAATACAGAAGGCTTGAAATTTAGACAACAAATATATCTTGGATGAGATTGGAAACAAGTGAGAGGAGAACAAGAGAATGTTCTTGCTAGATAGTAATTACCAAGCCTAAACTCTGTAGAACAACATAAATTATATTTATCAAGATTGATCCCATCAAAAAATACATAAAGGATAGAGCACTGAAATTATGTGCGAAATCTGACAGACTTACCAACACCGCGTTATCAAATCTCTTAATGGTTACAGGCTCCTCAGGGAGGTATGCAGATCTGAGGTCAATTATTGCTTAGTCTGATGAAGTGATAAACAATAATCTAGTTAAAGTGTAGAGAGAGGTTTTGAAGAAACCTCGAGTTAAAAAAGAGTATAAGCTTCAACATTATGTATTATAGATTTTCAAAATAAAGTGTTTCGTAAATAGTTTTAAGACCGTTTTACCATCCACCGTGTCACAAATAAAGAGGATTGCAGAGCATAATTTATTACATTAATACATATAATTTTATAAAAAGTCATCAAAACTAATTGAACAGCTTTCTCCCACCCTGTATATACTAGTATATGTTGCGCTACATAAGGCACTTTATGAAAAACAAAGAACATGTAAACGCACTATCTATACGATATACATATATGGATATATATGTATATTTTTTGGTTGTTGTTATGATGTGCGTGCGTCCCAGTTTAAATTTTCTATGCCTGCGAAATGTATTTCGTTTCAGATATTCTGGTTGTTCACTTGTGAAACGAAACGCTACTTTCATAGATACTTGTACCTGGTCACGACATTTCAGTTTATTTACCTACTTCGGGTTCACTTTTTCACATTTTTGTTTAACTTTTTCAAAATATTTTCATCATCTGTTCAGGGAACTGTTTGTTTTATTTATAAATGTACCTATTAACTATACTATGAAAACAGACAGATATGAGTCAACTTACTTGATATTTGGTTTTGCTGTATTTATTATCATTTCACAACGAGGACAATATTGTTCCATGCGCAAATGTTGAATTAGGCAACTGTGGCAAACTGAAAAAGAATGAAATCGAATTAATAAGAATTCATTTAAATATATTTTTTTACAAGAACAAAAAAAGAAAAGTATAAAATATATATATAAAGTCGAATAAATTTATTACTTTTTAGCTATAATAATATAACTTGAGCGGATATTTATCAAACGTATTAGGAATTCATTAAGAGCTAATTAAAAAATAATTCCACTTAAGAATTGATATCACCGAAAGCACACAACAGTCAGCCAGTCCACTCTACTTGGGTACATTTTGTAAAGCGAAGCGCTGTCCCCACCCACGACACAATAACGAAAAATCTATAAAGTCGAAATCTACGACGAGCTGCACAATGCGAGCACAAAGTCGTACAAAAACCTACACAAGAGATTTTAATATATTAAACTTTTACAGCAGCTTTAATGTGAATGTCAGCAACAGTCGTCAGCAGTCAGCAGACTCCGACCCCAAAATTACTGCTACAACGAGCAATTTTCAGTTTGTAACGGAAGGCATCAACCAGGCAAAGGCACAGCAGCAGGCAGCAAGCAGAGGCCCAGGCATAGCAGCAGCGCAACACAACACAACACAACAGAACACAACAAGTACAACACCAACAACAGAAGAGTAGAAAGTGCAGTGTAGTAAAGAGGAAAAATGTAAAGTATTTTTTCCAATGTACAGAAAATGTTTTTCAGCAAGCAATGCAGGGGGCAGGAGGTTGGTTATTCATTATTTTAGCAAAAATTAGCGTTTGCATTTATTTATGTGCTTGTGTATGTGTTCGTGTTACATATATATGAGTGTGTGTGTGTACTCTTCTCAGTGCATATACATTAAACCGTTATGTACGAGTAAACAGTGTTGGAACAAATTATTTAAAAAACAAAAACAAAAAAATTGGCCTTCATTACTAGTAATTATCATTGAAGGCTTATGTACAGCTCTAGTCATATCCGTTGGTTGGATTATATTCAAAAAATGTATATTCGATGAAGTGAAGTTATTTCATTTCATTTACTCTATGTACATTAACTAATGAGTTTCAAAATGTTGGGCAATTAAAGACACTTTAAGTATTGAAGGTTCGGAAAAAGGAGGCATATCAGGCTCAGCATCAGTGAACGGTTGCCAGACAGCACAGCGTTTATTTACAGTATAGAGTTTTAAGTTCAGTCAAAGCTAACATATGGCATTTTGTGTATACGAAGAAAGCCTATATGATATCAATAAACTGTAGTCAAGGGAAGATATACTCTATATTATACTATGTACTTAATTCAAAATTTATATAAACGTGTATGTGTATATTTATTGGTTGTTTAGGTGGTTTAGCTTTTTAAGGCAGAAAATTTCTACTGAATATTTGAAAATTAAAAAAAAAAACGAAATAAAATTAAAAGAAAAAAAATTTAAAAAAAAAATAAAATAAAAAATTCAATCAGAATGTCAACAAATCACGAAACCTATAATGTTTGTGTGCTCTTTGATGGTTTTTAAAACATATTTTAAATTCCTTTAGTGTGCTTTGTATTTGTGTTGTGTTTTATACACAGTCAGAAATGTTGTATTTTCGTTTGTTTAAAATTTTATATTAAAATCACTGATTGTGGTTCTTCTTTAAATAATGTAATATTATGATACAAAAAATTATTAAATACAAAAAAATAAATAAATACAAAAAAATAAATAAATACAAAAAAATAAATAAATACAAAAAAATAAATAAATACTTTTATAACCAAAGTACTTTTTATAAAATAATAAATAATGTAGGATATAATTTTTCAGTATTCAAACAAATTATATGGGAATACATAGAATACCAAAACAAAAAGAAAAAAACCCTCCCCGCAACGTTAAGCAGAATTCTTGTGTTGAACAATGGTTGATCTGCGCTGAGCCTAGATGTCCGCATGAGTTTAGCAATGATCTTAACTCTCCATACTTAAGAAATTATACACAATCCCTCAAAAATCTCAGCAATTGCCTGGGATGGTTGGCGAACAGCACAATCGTTCAAGGTTAAGACATAAACCTTCAAACTGGTATTATTAACCTTACTGATAGGCTAAAAACCTTGCGAATTGTTTTCACTTTTAAACAAAATTTCATTCCGCAAATTGGTCAAACCTTTTTTGTTACAAGTAATTTTGTTGTCTAAATACTAAACCTGCTATATTCTTATGTATGCCTTTTTATTGATTACTGAAATAAGTTTTTAATTTTGGAACTTTCTGGTCTTATACTGAAATGTGTCCATTCTGTATTCCTAAAAGGTAATTTTAGTGGAGCTAAACTATGACTTTCGATATTTTTTACATACCGGAAAAAAACTGTTTCGTGGCCTATACTAAGTATTGTATTAAAATATATATAAATTATGTGACGTTATTGGTGTGGTATGGCATATAATATCTCGATATATAAATAACTTTATATGTAATTTCGAATAAAAAAAAAATATATATAACAAGTATGCAAAAAAAAAAATATGTAAAAGAAAATATATAAAAAAGTATGCAAACAAAAAAATATATATATAAAAAAAATATAAATAAAAAATATATATAAAAAAATATATAAAAAAAAATATGTAAAAAAAATATATAAAAAATATATATAAAAAAATAAATTATATATAAGGTGTAAAAATATTAAAAAAAATAATATATGAATTGTAAAGAACATATAAAAAAACGGATATATAAATTGTAAAAAAAAGAATTATATATAACATGTAAAAAACATACAAAAAGGAATTATATACATTAAGACTGAAAAGTTTTCGGAAATTCTCATTTAAAATTCGCGCGCTGTATATTTTTCGATATTTTAAGTTTATGTAGTTTGGCAGCACTGTCCTTAATTACTATGCCAAAAATGAGCTCGATCTGTCAGACAGTTCGTTTACGGCAGCTGTTGAAACCAGTTCACCTCAGTAGTGCGTTGCGAAATGTCTTCGACGGTCGTACGACCGTCCTGGAAGGCTTTGTACCACTCATAAACTTGAGTTTTCGATAAAACTGATTCCCCATAAGCCTTTTGTAGCATTCGCAACGATTCTGCACACGAAATTTCGTTCGAAACACAAAATTTGATGCAAACTCTTTGTTCAATATTTTTTTCCATTGTTTTTTTCGCAACGCCCTACTGAGGTGAACTGGTTTCAACAGCTGCCGTAAACGAACTGTCTGACAGATCGCGCTCATTTTTGGCATAGTAATTAAGGACAGTGCTGCCAAACTACATAAACTTAAAATATCGGAAAATATACAGCGCGCGAATTTTAAATGAGAATTTCCGAAAGCTTTTCGGTCTCTTAATGTATACAGTGTAAAAAATATATATAAAGAATAAAAAAACAATTTTAAATAAAAGTAAAAAAGACAAAAATAAAAGAATTGAAAAAAAGAAAAGAAAATATATATAAATATACATATGTGTATATAATAAGAAAATTTATATAAAAATAAACAAAAAAATAACAAAAATATTGCTTAAAAAAATCGTTTCCAAACATCGTAACATTAAAATATTTTTTTTTTTATAAATTAAATAATAAATTTTTAATATGTTTTAAAATTAGCTTTTAAATTATTATTTTTTTTAATTTGATTACATTTCCAACCTATATAATATTTTAGGATAGGAAGTCGCCATTTAAATTTGTAAATCATTGAGAGGAAATATTTTCTTTATGAACAGAGGAATTAAAAAGTTTAAGCTTACAAATGTTAGGGACTACAATATTACCAATCGGCTTAATTAAATCGTCATTTAGTGTGCAATAAATGATAAATTTATTTTTACTAATAAAAAAAATAAAATGTGTCTGGATACGACATTAATTACTTTTATTGACTAATCTGCAGAACAGCAGAAAAGAGGAAGATAAACAGAACCGCAGCTATAAGAAGATATTCAGAGCATGAGAAGTGATGGTGCGTACATTCATTAATATGCAAATGATTTGGAGTGAATACATTACTAAATCCTACTACTGAAGGTTATTTCAGTTTTTTATTAAAAAGGACAGCCATTAAGTAAATGGAGTGTTGCAATTTTTTCTAACGGATTGGACATTAACAATGAGCATTGCGTTCCCAATATAATATTATTCCTACTGGGTGGCATTATAGAAAACTACCATACGAGGCGGCAATAAAATTCTGGAACAAGTTGGATTAAGAAATATTATACATAATTTTTAGTTTTTCTATTATGTTCCAATAATATTTGTTTTAATAATATAACAGATTTTTTGTATGTACATATATTAAATTTCATAACTTTAATGTTTATTTTATGTACGATAAGTACCAATTTATTATGCCTTTTAATAGAAAAAGTAGTATTCTTTTACGAATTAAGGTAAAGTACAATAACCACCACCATACCATCCCGCCATCATCCACTGGGAACGGCCTACACGAAAAATGCCCTTTGTCCCAACAAGTCTCATTAATCAAACTTGTTTTAATGAAATATCTATTTTATTTGGAAGACCGTGACACTATTTTATGATGTGATTATATTTTGTGCTTAAAATTAACAGTGATGGGAATTAAACTTAAATATGCTGGTTGGTTAAAAACTCGTTCTTAGTGAAAACTTTACCTTAATGTATGAGTTTTAATAAGAAAATACCTAAAAAGTTAACAAACAAGAAACTTATAAAAAGGATAGTGGCAATTATGTATATTTAGGTCTATATATGTATATAAAGTTTAATATAGTATATTTAACATATACTCCGTAGTATATAATAGGATTTGGTTAATGCTCTAAACTACACGCATCCGCTTTTCATGCCATTTCATCATTTGATTAAATGGAAATTTCTCCCCTTGGAACCCGTATTTATAAATTTGGAAACAAGCAAAAAAATAATCGCTACAGGCCAAATTGCAATGGACTCGAGTTGTTGGATTGAGTAGCGAAACCCAACACAATGTGGCTTGGAGCGATTTGTGAGTTGAAGCATTGGAATGATTGAAGAGTATTTGGTTTTTTGTTTTATCTATAGAGAGTTGTAATTCACTTACTTAAATGACTTTGTATAACAAAATTAATCAAGAATATGACAAACATTTTCAAAGCAATCTTTTGAAGAATTCAACAAATGTAGGCATTTCAAATAAAGCCGGATTTATAGTCGACTAAATTATCGTAAAGTATAATTTATTAAAATCATTTTAAAATATTAAAAAATATTCAGCGTTGAGATGGAATCCTCAGGGTACTAGGCAATGAGGCCGAATGCAGATATCTTGAAGGATTTTTTAAAACGTAGCTGGCAAAATCGTTTAACGAGTTAAGTTCATTGACACTTAACAGAAATAAGTAAATAATAAATACCATTATTATAAAATTATTATCTTATATTATGATTCAGTTTTAATTTCTTTAAAATGTTAACAACCAATAAAAAAATTGATTTAAAAACACATTTTTCGAATTTATTTCGAATTTTCGAAAACTTGTGAATCGTCGACGATTCTCTATCAATTCATAAGGGTGGGTTTTTTATATACGCCAAAATACTAATATAGGTTAAAGCTAACTTTGGGCTCTAAAATAATATGTAAAATATTCAGAAACGGACTAGGTTTGTATCTGGGGAAACCACTGTGCGGTCAAAATTAAGTGTGCTGGAACTTTTTATGTAGACCACTGTTAGATGTATTCCTGATTATTAGATATTCCTGATGATTAGATCATTTGGTTACTCTACTCTTCTAAAATCCTGAACGTTCTTTGTTCAAAGAATTTGTATTATTCAAGACATCTTTTGGTCTACATATATACTATACTGAATGCTGTATACCATACTAAAACATCAAGCGAGTTTGCACATAAGGAGACCATTGTACTGCCAAAATTAAGTGTGGGAAAACTTTATCTTTAAGCCACTGGTGTTAACCATACTTCTTTGTATGAGAATCACATTATCCACATTGCCATTTTTATTATCTGACTATAAATATTTCAGCAACTTGTATGAAAGATGCAGAAAACCCAAACATAACTAAATTATTTCGTTACTTTAGTCAGCTTAAACTTGACCGATTTTTGCCCAAAGATATTGTACTGGTTTCAATGTCTATACGATTTAATTAGCTTTGACTAAATTGATGATGTTGTAGTATAAACACATAAGTGAACCTTATATTATTTTAAACTGCACGTCTACTTTAAATTGCTGATCTAAACAAATATCAAGTGAGATATATTTATTGCTGGTTTTAAATAGACTAACACAACTGTCAAAACGAAAGTGTTTAGTCTAAGATACAAAGATTTGTGTACCAAATTTATGCACGCAGGTACAAGGTTCAGAATACGGAGAACGAGAAATTTTGTCTGGCAATGTTAGGAAAATTTCAATTTGCTCAAGAATATCTGCATTAATTAAAATAAGTGCCACCATATGGCAATGCAGGCAATAAATTATGTGTCCTCATCGCTCAAATTCAACCCACACCAGGCATGGGTTAGTTGTGAAAATATTTCTAGTGTGTTTAGTATTAGGTAACAAAAAAAAAAATTCGAATTTCTATAAGTATACTAAATACATGGTTTAATTAAAATGTTTGGTGGTAAGAAAAAGTCAATCGAATCGACACATTTGCGCTAATTGAGGATAACTTGTCATGTCTACTGTCATCACAACTACTTGGAGATAGATAATTAAATAATTTTTGTTTATATTAAATTTTTTGGTAAATTTATTAAATTACAAATGAATAAAACCTATTAATTTTCAGCATTTGAAATTGCATTTCGATATTTTAATAGATAGCTATAAAAACTATTTTGTTTAGCCAAAACATTTATAAAATGTAGAGGGATAAATGTATGTTCAGTGATTGCCAAAATAAACAAATTTTAAAGATTTTCTTAAAATTTCGGAAGCAACACTGCAATTCAAAAAGAAATTATTTTGTTTTACAACTTGGCTTGAATATGTCAGAATCAGAATCATTATTCTACAGGTGGAGAATATTAAACGGTATCACTTAGATGAAATAACTAAGTCGATCACACTTAGAGGTGGTATCCATCCTATCCTAATAAATGTACAACCCAACTAACACATATTTTTGCATATATCTTAAGTTATATATGATAGTCAAAAGGTAGTATTATTTATTTGGACACAGATATAGTTAATACGTAAGGAGTGGTGTGGGGAATGATAAGGAAAACGAAGAAAGAGGTAAGGTTCTAGTAGTGCCCTAGATTCGCAGACCGCGCTATTAATATCACAAGGCCGTAAAATATTATATTTTTAACTTTTACGATATTATTTCTTAGGTAGATATGCATAATGATCTTTGTAAAACACATTGTACATATTATACAATGGTTCTTGTAAAACCATTAAAAAATTTAAAAAAAAAAAAAAATTATGTTAAATTGATCATTTTAATTTTTTGGTTTTGTGACGAGACTTCAATCACAAAAATTGGTTAAATAAAAATTTCAATTATTAATAATATTATTACTATTATTCGTTCAATACATAATCACTATAGTATTGTAATCACAAAAGTATACTGAAATCTACAAAAGAATTTTTTTCATTTTCAAAAGGAAGAACATATATCCCCTCTTATTTTGGAATTAATAGTATTCAAACCACACTAATGACCTTTTATGAATCTAATCCGAAAAACCAATAAAATGAACAAAATATATTTACATAAAATCAGCAAAACGCTTCTGTTAGATTATTGGAGAATGTATTATAATTTAGGAAAGGGCGTGGTAAAAAGTGCAACCACAAAGATTTTAATAAAAGAATTAGACCTCAATTGTGACTGTCTCGTTGAAAAGCTTCACTTGATTTATTAAGTTTGAGAGGGTGGAAAAAATACAATGTATAAAATAGTTAGGGTGATAGGTAATAGTAGTAGCACACTGATTTAGAATATGAAATATAATACTTTTTTTAACTTAGTGTTGTTTGTTTTAAGTGCAAAAAACAGAAAAAAAAATTGGTAATTTTATTAACAATACTTACACGAATGTAAACATTCTACAATAGTTGTTGCATCTATAAGATAGCCCTTACATAGACCGCATATTATGTTAGGATTTACAGCGCTTAACAACACTGGTTTCGGTTTGGCAAAAATATTACTGTCAGTTGAATTTGATTCGATTTCATTCTCCTTGTCAGCAACAACTGTTTCTTGACTACACTCCACACTTTCTTCTTCCGTTTTAATCATAACATTCTCTGCACCACACTCTTCTTTTATATCTACAATAATATTATTTTCAGTACTAGCCTTAGCAGTGGCAGTGGCAGCATCGTCAATCTTAACAACAGCAGCAGTAACAGGGGCAGCGGCAGCGGAATTACTAATACCGTTTCTTATAGCGTCGTTGGTGCTAGTTGTTCCATTATTACTTACTGCATTGACAGTCTTGCTATGGTTCTTGCTGTTGTTGTTATTGTTGTTAATAGAGCTGTTTTTCTTGTTGTTGTTGTTGTTGTTGTTGCTTTTATTGTAAATTTGCATTTGTATTAGCCTTTCATTGGCACTTGCATTCGTAGCAGCAGCGACGTTGTCTGGCTGCTGTCGAACTTCACATATTGATGAAGAAATTGCCATAGACATTTGCATTCCATTGCATTTGTTGTTATTATTGTTGTTGTTGTTATTATTATTATTGGAATTTTGTTTGATTTCTTTGTCCTTAACGGTAGTGTTTATGGTATGTTTTTGTTGCTTTAACGTTTGTTTATTTGGTATTCTTTCAAGTGCGTCTGCATTACGCGATTTATTAGATACTTTAACCTTACAACTATCACCGTTTGAAGTGGCAGCGGATGACAAATGCATATCGGATTTATGTGTACTGGACGCCAACAATGGCGTTGTGCCTGGTAAAGGCTCTGGTGCCATTTTCAACGCAGTTCCTATAAAAGACGAATAAAATAAATTATTAAGAAAATATTATTTAATATTAATATTATATATAGAAAATAAGTATTTGTTTTTTTGTCGAGCTTTAGTTCGGTTTTGTGTTATATTATTTTTAATAATATATTACTTTATTTGGTATCATGAATACAAAAAAAAGGACAAAAAAAGTAGTATATAAATTTGGGAATAACTGTTTCATTCCGTACTAAGGACTAGTTTTTCAAAAAAAAAATGTATAAAGAAAATATATAAAAAATTTAATACGTATAAAAAAAAAACCCAAAAAATGTATATATCTAAAACAAAATAAAAAAAATTGTCAAAAAAATATTAAAAAGAAAAAAAAATACAAAAAGCAATGGAATGAAAATCTGTACTGAGAAAATGTAAAAAAAAAGAAAGTATAAAAAAGCAAATTTATAACAAAAAAAAAATTTGTTTAAAAAAAGTAAATATTAAAACAAAAAAAAAAAAAAATAAATATTATTAAAAAAAAACAAGAAAATAAAAAAAAAAAAGAAAATAATAAAAAAAAAAAACAAAAAAATAATAAAAAAAAAACAAAAAAATAATAAAAAATAATATAAATAATTAAAAAAAATAAAAAAACCATAATAATAAAAAAAAATAATAAAATAAAAATTTTTTTTTAAAATTTCAAAAATAAATATTAAAAACAAAAAAAAACAAAAAATTTTTAAAAATAAATATAAAAAACAAAAAAAAACAAAAAATTTTTAAAAATAAATATAAAAAACAAAAAAATAAAATAAAAAAATTTTTAAAAATAAATATAAAAAACAAAAAAATTGGACTACAAAAAAAAAGCTAAATGCTTATTTTAATGTTAAATTATGTTATAGTTAAACTTAAATAAATAAATTCTTTCACCTTAAAACAGTATATATAACAGTAATATATATATATTCATTATATAAAAATTTAATCATTAATATAATATAATATAATATATCATACAAAAAAATATATTCGTAAAAAAATGTATTTATAAAAATGAATATTAATATAAGTATTTATTTATTATACTTATTTCATGAGGTCGGTTTTGTCTTATATTACTTTAAATAATATTTTAATTTAAATTTAAAGTAATATAAGACAAAACTGATCTAAACCCCGACAAATACCTATTTACATTAATATACAATATATACATACAAATTTTTTAATATAATTGAATGTATATTATAAATGATACAAATAAAATAAATACTAAAATATTAAAAATTTTGTTAACAAAATTATATATTATTAAACTTGTTTGGAACAGAAAGCAAAAGCCTCTAAACTTTCACATTGAACAAAAAAAAAATGACAATAAGAAGAAGTAAAGTAGATCTTAGGTTAACGTTTGTTTTCCCCTTATCCAAAAAATATTCAAAATGATAGACATTAAAGCAATAAAAGTTTCCATTACTTTCATAGATCTTTGTGACAAGTGCTCTTTATATCATTCTCAATATAAAACATATTTGCAAATATTTTTTTCCTTAGTTATTCAGAACAAAAAGTAGGAAAAGAAGTTAGTAACACCAGCGTGCAGTGCATATGGAGTGAAATCTTCTGACCAAAACAAAAAAAAAAAATCAATATGACAGAATATATAAATCTTTAAGATATTAAAGTGGTTCTATTTGGCAGAATGTCTGGTTTTGGTATTATATATAGCGAATATACAATATTTGTTCCTTTATAAAGTAAATTAGAAAGTTTTCGACTGATGCCTAAGTTCATCCAACTGTTCAACCCTGTCAACTTCATGCAGGCAACGTGATAGTCTCATTCACGTTGCAGTCCTCAACTCATAACTTTGCGAACTATTTGTATTCATAGTCATAGGCGTAGCCATGACACAGTGTAGCAGGGTGTTTGCAACCCTACTCCACATACCTCTAAAAATAACACAAAAATAAGTATTTGTGCATTGAAAATTGAACATTTTTAAAAATTAAAAATCTACCTAAATTTAATGATTGTCAAAAAAAAAAAATTAAATAAAAATAATAGAAAGTAGTGTATAATTTTCGCAGTAACTCTTTCACTCCCTAACTCAGCACTTTCTACTTATTGTCAAATGCAAATCTTCGTATCTGTAATCAGAAGATATACCAAAAAAAAGTTGCGAAAAAATAAAAAAATTTAATTAAAAAAAAAAACTGAATTCAAAAAGAATCGTTCAATAAGCCTCTTTTAATGCTAAATTATTGGGTTTACATTAATAGTTAAACTTAAATCAATATGTACATGTGAGTACCTTAAAGCCGTTCGAATTTCGATTATTACTGAAATCGTGAAATCGAAGAGTGAAAAGAGGGTGTCGAAACTAATGACAAATGATAAAAATCAGTGGTTCATTACGAACTTCATCGTCAGTGCAGTTCATCCGTATTGAGTGAGTTTTGGTTTTATGTGTACTTGATAAGAAGGGTAACGTTTAATTTGTTAGTTTATGTTATGTGTGCAAAGTTTATCTTGTTATTCACTGTAGCGTTTAGTTTAGGTTCAAATCTAAGGCACATACACACATCAACCAAACATAGAATGCGAGCACAAACAAATAACGACACATCCCATCCCAACTCTCAACACCGCACATAGATGATGCAGTCAAAGACCATTCATGCAAACACTCCATTCAGCAAGCAGCAGCAGCAGCATAACCCAGACGACGGATGGCTAACAAAGATTAACTCCGGCATTAAATTTGCAATCGCTGTGATGTATTTATTGTGAGCGGAAGAGTTATTATTCAATAGATTTACTGCAGCAATTGCCTTTAGTGATTAGTTTTTATAATTTTTTAATTTAATAGAAAATTTGATTTTTCTAATTTATGTTAATTATTATTTATTATGAATTAATCAATTAAGCAAATTCTCTTTCGAATTCTATGACATACCAAACAATCGAAGCAAAACCCTAAGCGGCAACGTGCCACAATATTTGTGGTCAAAGATAATCGATGAAGTCAAAGGGCGGTAAACCGCGGCATTTGTAATATTTGTGGACGATGAGTTGGATGAATCAATTAAGATTCTTCTCAAATAAATACAAAATGCGTATCTTTCAATTCGTTTTAGCAATTTTGCTGTTAGCAAATATTATAGTTTCATGTATTCATTAATGAAATAATCCGCTGGAACAAAAAAGTTGGCTTTGACTTTACCGAAAATTTCATGAGCGTATTTAGAAGTGAAATTATAGTATATAAGGGGGCGCTTATATACTGTTGTGACAGATAAGGTTTCTTTTCCTATATATATGAAATATATATATATGTTTCACATATATATGCAAATTAATAACGCATTGAACGAAAATCGTCCGATTCCAACCAACAAAGTGACTGAGTCGCAGGATTCCTAGTGAATTTGACACAGGCCAAATATGCTCAAGCACATATTGCAAGATAAATAAAACCTACGTTTGAACCAATTAAATGGGAAATTCTATGGAAATTCACATGCTCCCTACTTACCAGAAAGTGTTTTATCATATTACTACTCATTCTGATGAAGGCAAAGCGCTCTTTAAGATCAGTACTTCATACACTACCAAAAATAGCTCGGTCCCATTAAGAGACATGAAATTCACAATTTTTTTCTATGAAATCCATATCATACCAGAAAGATGGTCGGAAATTTTCGCTAACGATAGAAAATATCTTGATTAAAATAAAATATAATATTTTGTAGAAATAAACATCTTTTTTGTCAAAAAAAAAAAAAGTAAGATTAACCAATTATGGGGGAAGATATATCAATAATAATACAGTACAATATGTCAAGATTTTCTTGCTTGCGCACGCCTATGGACCAGTTATTGAGCATTTACTGTCAGAAATGAAATGATTATTTATTTGGTCGCTATTTGTTTTAATATAAGGGCCAATATTATTCAAAGTATTTTTTGATACAAGTTCCCATCTATATTTTGATTAGATAATAGCCAGTTAAAGATATTGTGTTGTCTTCAAGCAATCTGTTAATAATTTTTTGACCACTGAGAATAGTTTTTGAACTTTCTGTTTGAAACTTTATAATCTAAAGAAACTGTAATAATAGGTTTTATAGGTTGCGATGTACTACTATCCCTTCGATAATTTTCTTTTATATCTACTATATACTTTTGAAACTGTTACCTTAAGCTCCTGATAAGGATAAATATATCACCTTTTTATCGCTCAAATAATTTTCTCATCTAAAATTTTTCAACTTCTTTTTTTTTAATATAAAAAGGGTTTCAGAAGTTTCTTAATGGATACGTCTCAGTACTTAAAATGTTATTACGACTGGTAACGATGTTCTCTACTACGACAGTGGCTTTTGTACATAGAAGCAGCTGCGTCATTTATTGTTGGTGTTAGCTCTTGAGAAGTTTTACCGATCCTTGAGAATATCAGCAAGCGGGGGAAAAAATTTAGGTAAACACAATTAAACAATACATAAACAAGTAGGAAAAGATTAGTGGGCTGTAATATGCTGAGCTTTAATGAAAAAAAATTATGAAAGAAGGGTGGTTTAAGTTTACTTAAAACACAGGCATGTTCTCTCGCTAAGACTAATTCATAGGTTAATTAACTGTAAATTGAAATATGTAGAATAAGTAAAAATATAGGAACCAGTTAATGTATTGTAAATAATTAGAACCTCTCAAAGTTGAATTGTACCGACACGGTTTCAATAATGCTAGACTAACTCATAAAGTAGGTAATTAATTTACTATATAAATATATGAATTCTATAAAATTTTTAGACTGAAAAATTAACTAGTTACCAGCAGCGAGTAAATTATTTGTTGCGTTTTTTGAGCAGTAGTTCTGATAATAAAAATATGAAAAATTGACGTTAAATTTTTTGTACTTAACTGTCATCTGCAGTTAAAGATTATTTCTGTTTCTTATAATAAGAATAACAGAATATGCTAACTATACTCGTACACGTTATAATATTTTTTGCAGATCTCGCTATAA